CCTCCTCCTCCGAGTCAAATTCGTTTGTTTACATTTCCCACAGATTAAGATGTGATCCTTTCTTCTTTTCGTGCGTTCCATCCTCTTTTGTTGTGGCTTCTGGCTGCTGCTATCGCGTTGGTTTTATCACGCAACGAAGGGCTGTAAATGTTGTTTTGTTTTTCGAATGGAAAACAGCTTAGATTTATGTCGAGACACATGTTCGATCGGCACTGATAAGGAAGGAACCAATATGGCGGCGAACGGGTGACAGTTGACAACTTTCCTCCGTCACCGATTGCCGGTCAATCAACCATGTTGACAAACTTGGCTTGCCGGGAACTGCTGGCTCGTGAGCAAGATAAAATCTCACGCTTTTGCGGACCTGGGCCCGGCACAGGCCGGAAGCGACCCAGGAGATTATAAAACTACACACTATCACCACCTTGTTTTAATGATTCTGATACTTTTATTTCCTCGCTACGTTGAGTATGGCCATAAGTGGAGTGTAAGTGAATTAGTGGCACACACACACGTCCCCGCCCCCCGCTTTCCCGCCAGTCCCTTCCCCGAGCAAACGGCGGGATATTAGCATAATTGCAGGCAACGGCCCATGGCCCCGTCGTCGTTGTCGTCAGTGTAAAATAGTTAATGTCTTCAATTAGTTTCATGAAGTCTGCCTCTTTTCTTTGTTTTCGTTGATTAACTCCGGAAGCTGCGATTGAACACTTGGTTTTACGTAAAATGTGTTCCGCAATTGGGTGAAAAAGAAGAAACATTTATTGATTCTTTCCTCCTTTCTCCGCAATCGACGACGAGGCTTGCTGCGATCGATTGTTCTACCTTTTGGATTTGGAACAGTTATCACCGTGGCTACGAAGACGACAACCGCGACGACGGGGCCTACTAAGTCGCGAGGAAGCACGTATTAAAATTAATGACGGCGCGAGAGAAGCAGCGACGGGCTCTTAAACGAGATTATGTTCCGCAGTTAATGTCATTTTCGAGTGAGCGTGAACGGAAATATGAATCGAAAACTGGTCCTCGTCAGCAACAACGGGATTGGCTTGGCTTACATCCGAATAACTGGTTTGGAGCGGAGCGGACGGACTGTCGATTGTACGCAAATCGGAAACTCTGCCGAGTGCGCGCGCGCGTTTATCGATCTCCGGTGTCGATTAAGACATACTTACGACGGGCTCTTACGGGTTTGTCTTGTGCGAAAGAGAAGGTGATTTGCATGAAAAATTAGAATCCGGAGCGAGGTTGCAACCGTGGGAACGTTGGGATCCGTCGAGAAGGAAGTTGCCCCGTGTGACGGGTTGACGGCTAGCGGTACAGTTTGTATCCATTCTGGCAGTCAACCAAGAGGCTGGGATTCAACGTATTCCAAAGTTTGGGATTCAAAGAATCCCTAAATTTGAGATTCAAAGAATCCCTAAATTTGAGATTCAACGAATCCCTGAATTTGGGATTCAACGAATCCCTGAATTTGGGATTTAACGATTCCCAGAATTTGGGATTCAACGAATCCCAGAATTTGGGATTCAACGAATCCCAGAATTTGGGATTCAACGAATCCCAGAATTTGGGATTCAACGAATACCAGAATTTGGGATTCAATGAATTTCAGAATTTGGAATTCAACGGATCCCAGAATTTGAGATTCAATGAATCCCAGAATTTGGGATTCAACGAATCCCAGAATTTGGTATTCAACGAATCCCAGAATTTGGGATTCAACGAATCCCAGAATTTGGGATTCAACGAATCCCAGAATTTGGTATTCAACGAATCCTAGAATTTGGGATTCAACGAATCCCAGAATTTGGGATTCAACGAATCCCAGAATTTGGGATTCAACGAATCCCAAAATTTGGGATTCAACGAATCCCAGAATTTGGAATTCAACAAATCCCAGAAATTGAAATGCAACGAATCCCAGAATTTAGGATTCAACGGATCCCAGAATTTGGGATTCAACAAATCCCAGAAATTGAAATGCAACGAATCCCAGAATTTAGGATTCAACGGATCCCAGAATTTGGGATTCAACAAATCCCAGAATTTGAAATTCAACAAATCCCAGAGTTTGGGATTAATTGAACCCCAGACTCAGGATTCAATGAATCCCAGAGTTTGGGATTCAACAAATTCCGATTCTGGGATTCAACAAATCCACAATCTGGGATTCAACGAATTCCGAATTGGGGATTTAACTAATCCCAAATCTGGGATTCAACAAATCCCGAATCTGGCATTTAACGAATCCCAAAGCTGGGATTAAAAAAATCCCGGGTTTGGGATTCAACGAATCCCAAATCTAGGATTTAACGACTCCAGAAACAGGGATTCAACGAATTCCGAATCTGGGATTCATCGAATCTCGAATCTGAGATTCAACGAATTTCAAATCTGGGATTCTACGAATCCCTAATCTGGGATTCAACGAATTTAGAATTTGGGATTCCATGGATCACCTTCATACACCAAAATTAATTTAAAACAGTCTAGAAGCTTCCCAAAATAATAATTTAATAATAATTCAACGAATCCTAAGTCTGGGATTCAACGAATCCCGAGTTTGGAATTTAAAGAATCCCGAGTCTGGGATTCAACGAATCCCGAATATGGGATTCAACAAATTCCTAGACTGAGATTTCAAGAATCCCGGTCTGAGATTCAACAAATCCTGGTCTAGGATTCAACGAATTTCGAGAATGGGATTAATGAGTAACGAGTAAACAGCCTAGAAGCTTCCCAAAATAATAATTCAACGAATCCCGAATCTGGGATTCAACGAAACGTGAAAAATGACCTGGAATCACCAAAAGGTGGACTACCTTAACATCTAATCAAGATCTTGACGATTCAATTGAAATTGAGACATCCAATTCCACCTGACAATGTAATACAAGCGTTACAGTTTCCGGTTCGCTCAATCGGAAACTGCTGAATGAAATTGCCAGGCCTGCGTCGGTGAGCATCCATCAATCCGTCAACTGTCAACCTGGGGGCGAGTGCAGAAAATGGCATTTTCCCCGCAAATCTTGACCCAAACTGTCATTATCGAAGCAACGCTTCAAATTTACTCTTGCGAAAAGTGTCACAACGGTTCCATCAAGCGGCAATTTGAAACATCATCATCATCGTCGTCGTCGTCGTCGTCGTCGACAGTGCCTACTTGATTATATTATTAAACAACCATCCTCTCCGAGCTCCATCATTGCGGCGAACGACGACGGCGAGTGCATTCAATTCATTAACGCGCAGTAGGCGCGTTATCATATTCCCCTGACAGATCCCACCGCAGCAACCCACCAAGCCGAGCTCCATTCATGCGAAAGCGCACCATATTCATGTGTGCGTCAGTCCCATTCATTCATTCACGTTTAGAGTCTCATTCATTTAAATCGCTGTTATCATCGCTGGAAATCACCATCACGAACCGAGCGCGGAGCGAAAACGCGTCCGTCGTAGCCAGCCAACTACTGGACCCGGTGGTTGATCATCATGATGAAAATTAAAATAAGTACTTTAGAGAGCGACTCGCTGTCCGCTGCTGCTTGCTATATGTGACTGACTGACCACACACTAAACATTGATTCAAAGATGGCCGCCGGCGGCCCACCTCCGCAAGCGACGAGTTTCACCTGAACCCTAACCTCGCTATTCAACCATCTAAAAAAAAAAACTATTTTACGAAAGAATCTGCCATGTCATTGTGCGCCCCCTCGTCTCGCCGAGATCGCGAACGATGATGACGATAATACCAACAAACGAAAATTGATTTCCATTCGATCGCAGAAGGCAAGTCGGAGGAGCGGGCACCAGGCAACCCGAAAACCTAGCAATCAAGTGATTTTCATTCAGCATTTTGTTCGCTTCGCGTGATCCGAGCGATCCAAGTAAGCGTTGCTTTCATCATGAATGAACAACAACAACAACACAATCGATAGGGAGCGGACAGTTCCCTTCTCGGGTGGGTGTCTGTGTAAGGTAGCGCACACGGGGGTCATTATCGAGTTCGAACGAAGCACCGATCCGAGGGATATCCAATTCTCAGAGTGAGGGAGGCCGATTACACCCTTTCCCCGAAAAAAAAAGAGTCTCGAAATGGCTATTTTTCAAACACTGACTGCTGGAATGGACCTGGCAATTGTGTGTGTAGGTCTGTTGCCTGGGACGAGAGAACCTTTGTTCCGAGCTCAACTCGACCGTGAATTTGAGTCGGGTTTCCATTTTTACATGCATTGCACACACTTCTTCGCAGACAATTGCGATCCGTAGAGAAAAAAAAACTAATCGAAATTGTTTCAACACTGCAAACCAGTGGAACTCAGTAGGCTGTCAAGCTGTCAACTGTTCAAAACACGTGCAAGTCAAGCTACTAGATCACCATGACCCTTATGATTACTCCTATAAGGTACCCAAAAACCAATACATTTAACTCCGAAAGGCCCACGAACTAAAATTGATACCTCTCTAAGGCGACTAAGAGCGTGCCGCCCACTGCTGCCCCTTCCTAGTTGAAAGCGAAGTTTTCTTTTTCTATTTTAGAGTACGAACGCGGCTTTATTACAGGGCGCAAAAGGCTCTTTCTCCCACAAAAAGCGACTAGTCAGTGATACTCGCCGCCCGGACCCGAGCCCGAGATCGATGGAAATGGAAGACCAAATGTTACGAAACATTTCTCACTTCTTCCACTCCACTCACTCCACTCTAATATTCCATTCAACCCTAGCAATCTTGGACTACGACGCCTCATATACGGTATTTCAGGTTTCGTTTTGTTTTAGTTAATATATCGAAATTATATGGCTCTTGGTCCCGCGCCAATCTCTGCTTTTTCCACCGTGTGTGTGTGTGTGCGTACACAACACACTTTATGTAACTAATTATATGGTGATTTTCCCTCGACCTCTGGCATCCCTTCCGCCCGCGGTTGAAACCCGTTCTGGGTGGCTTTCAAAATCCCCGCCCCACGCCGCCTAAGATCAATCGAAAATCTGTCTACTCACCACTACTATTGTTGGAATTGCTGGCAGCACTGCTGCCCCCACCGCTGCGGCCGCCACCTCCACCTCCGCCGCCACTGGTGGACGTCGAATTGCTACCGCTAAACTGTTGCTCCTGCTGGTGCTGTTGGCTGCTTAACCGCTGGAGGGCGCTGTTGTACTCGCTGATTTCGCTGACGCCACTGCTGGTCCCTCCCGTCGAGCCACAATCGCCGCTGCCGCCACCGCCACCGACGCCGTACAGGGCACTGGTGACGGCTGCCACTACCGACGCACTGCCGTCCAGCAGGGCTTTCTCACAATCTGCAAATAAGGAGCACAAATTTAGCAAATTTCATTCCGGAATTGATTTGATTTCCATCCATCGATGTCCAAATATGTTTATTCGCTAAATTGAATCGAGGGGGGCCCCTATGGGTAGGCAACTCCGAGAAGTAGGAATTTGAAGTTCTGCAGGAGTGATTCAATTACCGCTGCCCGGTTACGAACGAACGTTTCTGCGTTCAAGAGGAGTGTGAGAGAGTCTTTTGAATGGTGGTTGGGCGTTTGTCAATGCTTGCTTTGTTGGTGGTTGCTATGGGGTAAACAAGTTAAGAAGAAGGTTCTTCAATCAGATTCATTCACGCTTGAAGAATTCCATTTTAAAGCGTCTATGGAGTTGGAAGGACTCTGTGGAAACTTTGAGGGTCAAACTAGTCCGATAGCTGTGGGCTCTTCTCACTGTTGAACTTGATCAAGCTTGATAACTTTGATTGATTGTCATCAGCAAATTGTTGTATGAAGGGCCAAAAACGAATGGATGGATTTGCCTATTCATTTGCTTGGGACAGTTAAGAATCACCTTCCAACAACTTGATCAGCCAATTGGTCAGAAAACGAGCCATCCAACAGGAAGATGGGGAGAAGAGCCCGCCCTTTATCCACAAAATGTTAGCAACATAAACTTAAAAAAATTATGAAAAGAAAATTCAAGAAAGACAACTAACTTCAACAGACAACTCAGATAATAGGCTATTGAAGAAAAGTTTCCTTCACCGCTGGACTTCTTGATAGAAGTTCTACAATCTTCTGGAGGCAAGCTCTGAGATCTTCTTAAGGGGACTTCCAATAATTTTCAAAGCTTAATTTTAAGATCCTCAGAAGCCAAATTTCAAAATCTATCGAAAGAAATGTTCCGGGAGCTGAAAGAAGAAGTTCCGGGAACTTCCGAAGGCAACTTTCGAAGGCAGACTTAGGATTCATCCGAGGCTTTGCTTAGGGATCGTCCGAATGCAAGTTCTGTAAATTTCCGAGGTCGGTAGCGTGTTTAAGGAGATTATGTCAAGCTACATAATATCGAAGAAATCATATCAAGAAGACTGGCAACTCTTCTCCATTTTCTCATACGACCGCTATGAGACCGACACAATCGCGTCATCTACCGCGCAAAGGTAAATGCTTCGAACGAATTTGATAGCAAAGATTTCAACCTCAGAAGAAAGGTTTGTGTATTTGCTCATTTTTCTATGCAGTACTTCCACCTTCACTCAAGCGCAGTGCTACTGTACCTGTCGCTTGCATTCTGGAAGAGTTGCCAGTCTTCTTGATTTGATGTCTTCGATAATATGCATATGCAGCTACATATAGAGCTAAAACCAGTGCAATGCCTCTTTGCCAGTTGTAGAGTCCTGAATAATTCAGTGCGAACATTTCAAAGGGGCGTAATTGCTACTTTAAACAATGGCTTTATCCGTCGATTTCTCGCAAATAAAAGCTCACTCCTCAAAATAATAAAATTCTAGCTGGTAGAGGAAACATTCCTCTTCCTGTTGTTGTCATTAATTTTCATGAGTGAGCGAGAAGTCGACGGTCAAAGCCATTGTTTACAAATGCAATTACGCCCCTTTGAAATGTTGGCACTGATATATGTTTTAGTAGCTCAAGAAGGGAACTTTTGTGAGTCTTCTGAAGACAAGTTCTGAAATGATCTAAACACAAATTCTTGAATCTCCTGAAGGAAACTTCTTGACACAATGTCTGCTAGATTCAGAAATCAGGATACATGATCAATGAGGCTTTGAAGTTATGGCATCTAACTAAGTAGGGTTGCACTCATTTTCGTAAAATTTTCACTGAAAATTGAATAAAATTAACTGAAAAATGGTGTGAAATGGGTAAACGTTACTCTAAAAAAAGTAATATTTAAACTCATTTTTGAGCTTAAGTTAAGTTCTTACGAATGTTAATGAAATTCTAAATTCTAAAGTTGTTTTCAGTGTTCACTCGGCTGTCGACAAAAGCAGTCCACTCTCGATGTGTGCCACACTCGGCAGCAACCATTGTGTGGTCCTCCTCATTGTTCTTAATCAGCAGTTCTTTCGGTCGATGCGTCGTTGGCTTTGGAAGGCAACCGTTTAGTGATGAGTGTGTGAGTGCTGACCACGTTTTGCGTCCATTGCTGCAATAGAAGCGCTCTGACCCCCGTTGGCGTAACTGCCATACAATGAAACCGCTGGAAGCGGCTCCTGTTCTGATAGAGGAGGCTTTTTGGATCGTGGAAGTTAAAATATTTATGGTGTTGTACCTTATGACTATAGTTTTAAGATGTATTGTATAGTGACCAATAATCCTCGGCTCTGTAAAGTTAATTCGTTTGAGCCTTATCAAATAAATTAATAAACAACAATAAAGTTGTTTTCAAGGTCGAGTGTTTACAAAAAATACATTAGCTTACTATTTGCTGCTGAATGGCCGTCGGCAGAACCCTCGAAATTGTTCCTTGTGTCAAAACGAAAAAATAACACTGAAAACAAATTCACCTATCTTAACTCGTTGTTTAATTGATTCGCAAATTTGATGATTTTCACATTAACCACTTTTAGCAATTTTCGGTTCAATATCCGAGGACGCGAGGTTCAAAGATCTTCCGTAGGAAAGTATAAGGATCTTCACAAACATTGTTCTAGGAACTTCCCAAACAACGGGTAGTTGTAAGGAATTGCCAAGATTTGCAAACTTCTTGAGTCAAATTCCAACTGACACTGAACAAAATTCACCTGTGACAATTCACAGTTTCGCTAGCAGGTGTCCGTACCATTCCTGAAGAGGCGAGTTTGAAGGTTCTCCAAAGGCAAGTTTTAGGACCTTCCAAAGCCTAGTTCGGGAAACTACTGGAAAGTTCTGGAATTTACAAAAGTCAGATTTTAAGAACTTCCAAACTCAAGCTGATGTGGGAGGTTAAAAAAAAAGAAATTCCAGTAAACTTCTTGAGGAAAGTTCTAGGAACTTCCGGGAGTAAGTTCTTGAAACCCTCAGAAGCCGGGATCATCGAAAGGAATGTTTTGAAATGTCCCGGAAGCAAGTTATACAAAGTTCGGTACACTTGTTCTGAGAACATCCGCAGGTAATTTCAAGAAACTTTCGAGGGCAAGTTCTTGGATATTTTTTTAGGAACTTCCTAAGACAAGTTTTGAGGTTTACAGATGACAAGTTTTTGGAATAACGATGGTAAGTTATGGGACGTTTTAAAGCAACTTCTTAAACCGAATTCTGTCTGGAGAAAATTTCTACGAGCCTTAAAAACCGAGTTCTGAGTTCCTTCGAAGCCATGTTTGAAATCTCCTTGGAGTAACTTCGGGAGACAAGTTCTAACCATGATCCTGATTCTATTACTGCAAATTGGTGCGGCAAGTTCCAGAGCATATCGAGCGCAAGTCCTAGAATGTTTTGAAGGCAAGGCCAGATTTCAAGACCTTCAAGTAGGAAAGTTTTAAGTCCTAGGACCTCCCGAATGTGAGTTCAGAAAATATCTGACGTAGGAACTCTCGAACGCAGATAATTCTATAACTCGTCTTAAGACAAGTTCTGAGACAATTTTTTGCATCATCGGAACATTCAGATAAATGAGGTGATCTTCTACGTGCAAATTCTGGGAATTTTAGGGAGCAAGTTCTCGTAACATTAGAAGCCAAAATCCTGGGAGCAAGTTCTACAAACTTTGGAAGACAAGTTCTGCAACATTTCGGATTCAAGTATTGCAAACTACTGGAGCAATAGTTATAGTTATCGACACTCTTGAAAACAAGTTCTAGGATCTATCCAAGCTCCATGATCTTCCAAAGAAAGACACACAAGTTCTGCAAAGTTCCATATTCAAATACTGCAATCTTACGGGGATAATTTCTGGAGCTTACCTCCAGAACTCGGGAGCAAGTTCTTGAATTTTTCAAAAACTAGTTCTAAGTTCCTCTCAGACCAAATTGCGAGGATTTTCTCAATGCATATGTTGGGGGTGATGTTGGACCTATGCACCACTGAGGGTGCTCAGGATTAATGATGCATCGAATAGTGTTATTCGGCCAGATATTGGTCAGTTACACCAAAATATTACCTGATATTCGACTTTTTCCCACATAACAAGTGACCGACAAGGTCTTTGTGTGACATTTTGAGGCTATAAAGCTTGATATTTGGCCTAAATATTTGGTGCATCATTACTCAGAATACGAGAACTTCTAAAGACAATTTCTCAGAAATACACAAACGAAGATTCATGAACTTCCAAAATTCTGCGAACTTCTGCAAGTGCTAGAAATTTCCCGAATCAAGTTCTAGAAACCACATACCCAAGTTCCGGGATCATCCAAAGGAAGGTTTAAGATTTTAAGAGGTAAGTTCTTCGTATTTAGGAAGGTAAACTTATGGTGATTCTAAAAATTCACCGGAAGCCGAATTTAGCTTCGAGTGTTGCGAATGTTAGTTCTAGAAATTTTGCAGGTCAAATTATTGTTCAAAGTATAGTAGTCAAATTCCAAAGGTTATGCAAAAGTTCAAAAGCGTTTTCCCACATTTTTTTTTGGAGAAAAATCTAGAAATCTCTAGGAACCTTAAGGACCCAGTTGCAGGATCTTCTAAAGACAAGTTTTAGGAACTTCCGGAGACAATCTTATGAGGACAACTTTTGAGGCTCTGAAATCGGCAGAAGCTATCTTTCGAATTGCAACGTTTTGGATTCAAGTACCGCAAACATCCGGAGACACGTTCTAGAAACTTTTGCTAACAAGTTCCGAGATTTAGCCAAGTTCCACGATTTTCCGAGGAAAGATTTTAGGATCTCCAAGACCTAAGTTATCCAAATTTTGGCACATAGGAACTGCTAAATTCCAGATTCAAGTGTTGCAAACTTCGGGTGATAATTTCTAGAACTTGTCTCCGGAAGTCGGGAGCTAGTTCTAGGATTTTGCAAATACATTAGCCTTTAGGATCTTTTCAGGACAAATAGCAAGTATTTTCTGGAGGCATGTTTTGGGGATCACGCTGGTCTGATGCACCACTGGAGGTGCTCACACGGTTGCTCAGGATACATGAGTGAAAGAGTGAATGTTTTGGGAACTTCCACAGACAATTTCTTCGATCAATACAAACGAAGATTCAAGAACTTCCCAAAACAACTTCTAGAGACAAATTTTGCTAACTTCAAGCAAGTAGGAAACTCAGATTCCATAGTACGGGATCTTCCGAAGGAAGGTTTTGAAATATTCTAGATGCTGCAAATCATCCAAGAATCCTAATGTTCCTAAAACTTAATTCTGGAAGTCGGTATTAATTTCTGGAGAACTTTTCAGAATCCACAGAAGTCATCTTTCAAATTGCAACGTTTCGAATTCAAGTACCGCAAACATCAGGAGACACGTTCTAGAAACTTTTGCTAACGAGTTCCGAGATTTAGCCAAGTTCCACGATCTTACGAGGAAACATTTTGGGATCTCCAAGACCTAAGTTATCCAAACTTTGGCACACAAGTTCTGCGAAGTTCCAGATTCAAATAATGCAAATATCCGGAGGTAATTTCCTGAGCTTACATCAAAGTTGGAACCCCTGCAAGATTTGGAAATTCCCACGGAAAAATGTTAGGCAACTTCCGGAGATAGTCTGTTGAACTGAATTCCGGAAATCACGAGTAAGTTCGAGCCTTACAAAGGCTAATTCTAGGAACTTTCCAGATCAAATTATTGAATCTTATGAGGACAAGAGTGGAGGTTCTGAGATCTAGTGGAGCCATATTTTAGGAATTTCCAAAGGCAAGTTATGGAAAGTTTCAAAAGCGGTTTCCAAGAAACTTTCGGCAGTAAGCTGTAGGAACCTTTAAGGACCAAGTTGCAGTATTTACTAAAGACTTTAGGAACTTCTGGAGACAAGCTCTACGAACTTTGGGAGACTACTGCTACGAAATTTCGGATCTAATGTCTGCAATCTTCCGAAAGGAGGCAAGTTCTAGATACTTTTCAGGCCAAACTGTATATTGTTCTGATGGAAAGTCTGCCGGGAGCTTCCAACAGCACAAGTTCTAAAGACTAGGTAAGCTCTAGAAATTATCCCCAGAAGATTGCAGTATTTGAATCTGGAACTTTGCAGAACTTGTGTGTCTTTCTTTGGAAGATCACGGAGCTTGGATAGATACTAGAACTTGTTTTCAAGAGTTTCTATAACTATAACTATAGCTCTGGTACTTGGCAATACTTGAATCCGAAACGTTGGAGAACTTGTCTTCCAAAGTTTGTAGAACTTGTCTCCCAAAGTTCGAAGAACTTGCTCCTGGGATATTGGCTTCTATTGTTACAAGAACTTGCTCCCAAAAATTCCCCGAACTTGCACGTGGAAGTTCACATCATTTATCTGAATGTTCCGATGATGTAAAAATTTGTCTCTGGAACATTTCAGAACTTGTCTTAAGAAGACTCATAGAATTCTCTGCATTCGAGAGTTCCTACGTCAGAAATTTCCTGAACTCACATTCGGGAGGTCCTGGGACTTAAAACTTTCCTTCAGAAATCAAATCAAATGAACTTTTAGAAGCAAGTACAAGGAACTTCCGGTGGCATTTACTGATAAGCTTAGGTGCTGAGGTTCGATATCTTTCAGCAGAATGTTTAGGGATCTCCTGGAGGCAAGTTCTATGAATTGGTAGACAATTTCTGACAAGATTTGGAATGAAGTTCTGCAAACTTCCGGAGGTACTTTTGGGAAGATGTTCTAGATTCTTTCGAAGGCAAGTTCTAGAAATTTTGCAGATCAGATTGGAGGATCTTCCGAGGATGCGCTTTAGGAATTTCTAAAGGCATGGAACAGGACAGGAGCCATGTTTAGGAATTCCTCAGCTGGAAAAATACTTCAAAGGCATTTTCTGCCAAGTTCTAGGGAGGAATTCTGGTATCTACTGGAGACAGGTTCTGCGAATCTTTTGAGGCAAATTCTACAAACTTCTGGAAGCAAATTCTAGTACTTAGTAGATACGTCCCGACACCTTCAAAAAACAAGTTTTTGGATCTTCCGGAGCCATTTTCCGCGAACTTCGTGAAACAAGTTTTAAGAAATTCGGAATTCAATTACTGCAAGCTTCCGGAGGTACACTTGGGAACAAGTTTTAGACACTTTCGAAGGCAAGTTCTAAGAGCTTGTCATACCAGATTGAAGGGTCTTCCAATTTTGGCCTTTAGGCAAGCTGGAAAAATACTTCAAAGGCATTTTCTGCGAAGTTCTTTCAATCAATTCTCTACTATCTACTAGAGGCAATTTCTGCAAATTTCTTGAGACAAATTCTGCTTCTGGAAGCATGTTCTGGAACCTAGTAGCTACGTAGCTTACGGAGCCATTTTCTGTGAACTTCGTTAGACAAGTTTTGGCGAAGTTCCGGATTCAATAACAGCAATCTTCCGGAAATAATTTTGGACACAAGCTCTAGATTCTTCTTCTAGAATCTGTAGAGACAAGTTCTAGGATCTTTGCAGACAAAATTAAAGGATCTTCCGAAGGTACACTTTGGGCATGGAACAAAATAGTAGCAATGTTTAGGCATTTCCAAGGGCAAGCTAGAAAAATGCTTCAAAGGCATTTTCTACGAAGTTCTTGAGATGCATTCTGCTATCTACTGGGAGGCAAGTGCTGTGAATTTCTTGAGGAAAATTCGGAAGGCAAGTTCAAGTATCTAGTAGCTACATCGCAATATCTTCAAAAACCAAGTTTTGGGATCTTCCGGAGTCATTTTCTGCAAGCTTACAAGTGTTGACGAAGTTCCGGATTCAATTGCTGCAAACTTCAGGAGGTACTTTTCGGCTCTAAAATCTTTATAAGAAAAATTCTACGAGCTTTGCAGGCCAGATTGAAGGATTGAAGTTCCGGGATCTACCGGACCTATGTTTAGGAATTTCCAAAGGCAAGCTGTAGAAAGCTTTAAAGAGGCATTTCCTATGAACTTGAGATACATTCTGAATTTTAAGAATTTCTTGAGAAATGTGAAACATTAAGTGTTTCAACACTTCGATCAGACGGGTGGACTTTTTTGAGTGTATGAGAAAATGAAAGAGTTGCCAGTTTTCTTGATATGTTGTCTTCAGCCTTTGCCGAGTCATGACAAGACTTAAAGGAATGTTTTCGGAGCATTCGGAGGCGAGTTTTAGGAACAGATCAGTGCTGCAAAACACAAACGAGCATTCAACATTCACGTTTTTCTAAAAGGGTCAAACCAAAAGCAACCAAATCCCACACAATTCAATGACCTCCTCAAGCAGCTTCTTAACGTCATCAAACGTCACATGACCAGCACGACTTCGTCTTCATGGCGCACACTGTGATTCCTCCCGCAAAAGGCGAAAAAAAACCGCAGTATGCGGGTCCTTCACCATCAAGCCACATCATAATTCAATAATGCGGTGGCAGTGGAACTATTTTCGGTAAACGGTTCCTTTGTTGTCACACAAATTGAGTGGACACTTGAAAGGGATTGCGAGGAGTCTTAAATTGGTCAGAATGCGGGGCCATTCGGTAGGAACGATTTCTCCCTTCTTTACATGCTTAGTTGAAGTCACTAAGGCTCACACACACACACACACACACACACACACACACGTCATTTCCGAAACTCGAATATTGCATCCATGTGCGCGCCGCTTCGTGCCGTTGCCGTGCCAACAAACACGACACAGCCTACTACTACGACTGCCTTTGAAATGCTAATTTCGCCAAGTAATTAAGAATCATTTTCAATTGTCAGAAACGTTTGTTATTCGTTTATACATCTGTTTACTGTGCATGTTTGTAATGTAAGTATGTGTATCACGGCCGGCAGATCGGTTGGTTTTTATTGGTACCGTTTTATGGCCGGGGCCTCTCCTCAATGTAGAGGGAAAATAATTACTAGTTTTGCCCAACTTGAATGATTTTTGCACAATTGACAGAACGTTTGCGATTTTAATCAAAATCGCAATTATAATGGCCTCGGCGGAAAACAAACAACGCACAATTGAAGGTGGCTTTTTCTCACTTCAATTTCAGCGAGCGTGATCACGAAAGGGATCTTATCTTGGATCCTGTTCGAGTTTTTGTTTCGTTCGATTGTACAATTTATAAAACAAATCACCGTTCCCGTCAATTGAATTGTCAATTTCCCAAACGTCAAACATTGATCTGTGCGGCAGCAGAGATTGACAGACAGGAGAGGGAGAGAGAGAGGGGTGTTTTCACTGCAATTTAAAAGAGTTGCGCCAGATGTCACCCCATCAAGAAGCTCATCATCGAAGCAACCGATGACGGTGATGCGGGGCAAAAAGTGCGCGCCTTTAATAAAAATGCCTTTATTATTCAATTACAAGAAATAAAGATCAAAACCTCGGGTATTAAAGTCTATTAAAAACATCTCCCCGGGGTGTGTAACTACTGCTACTACTACGACTGCATTACAATCTACGAGTCCAGAGAGTGATGGGAACCCAAATGCGGCGGCATTCCCCCTTTTTTGCACCGCCATTGTCCATCGCAGCCGCCAAGAAGATGTCAACTTGAAGATGAACCCAGTAGGCAGAGGCAGGCAGAACGACGACGACGACGACGACGACGACGCACAACTCAGCCTAATAGGAACAATGAAAATAAATAATCAAATCAGTGAAGGGTCATGTCACCCTGTGTTGCTCGATGCGCTCGCGGTGATTCCTCTTCACTGGCTGATGAAGGGGAGGAGACGATGGGTTGTTGTTATTTATCGTCGTTAGTTTGTTGTGTTGTTCGGTCATTCAAGTCAAAGCTGATTCAATTTGGACACCCCTCGTTCGAATCAGTATTATATGGGTTTGGGTCAATTGAAGAGTGGGTTGCTTCGATCTGGTGCAGTTCAATCGAAGTAGGCCAGATTTTCATTTAACCGGGTCAAAAGGGGAATTACACACTTTGGGATTGGATAATTGACTGGTTGGGAGAAACAATTAACTTGGACATCGATGGATTCCCATTTGCCGAAGTTTGATCTTACCTTTTTGCAGTATTTCCAGATGCTCCCACAGGATGTCCCCGGTAAAGGGCGGCGCAATGGCCAGGAAGCCTTCCCTGCCCAAACCGATTATCTCCCGGCCGCTCATCTTGAGGAACGGTTCCTTGTTGACGCTCTCCAGCGAAAACTCCGTAATCGACCAGTTCAGCCAAATGATCACATGTTCCGGTGTCCATTGTCGTGGATCTGAGAAATGAAAATAATGAAAAGGAAAATGATACCGGGATGCGTTTCACAATGACAATAAAGTGCTGATTTTGCGAGATTTCCCTGCCGTTTTCAATTTTTCAAGTTCAAGTGAAGCCAAGATGAGACAAGGGGCGGCGGGTCGCGTTAAAATTCGCACAGACACAAAGGCTCGTAAACATTAATAATTACAAAGTAGCCGACTACTGCTGCCTCTTCTTATAAGTACAATGTTAACCATGGTTGCCGTGGTGATTCACCTTAAGCGCTCAAATTGCAGTGCAGCTAGCAGTCAGTCAGTCAGTCAGTCAGGAGAGACATTCTCCTCACACCGAAAACAATAGAAATCAATTATCTTGACATTGAAAACTGAATTTTTCAGGAGCTTTTTCCCACTGGGGTTTTCTTTTCGTGCAACACCACCGCCGCCGTCAACGAGGCGACAAGGTCAGCCCCCTTCTTCGTTGTGATGAAACAGAAAAAAAAACTGTTAAATTCTTATTCTTTAAAAAGCAAACTGCACCGATGGGTTGTTGGGGTGGGGTTTCCAAGACGCAAAATAATTAACATTATGTAAAGAAAAAAAAAACGAAGCACACACTTGCTTTTCTGTGATGGGTTACTGTGCTACTTTGCATAGCCGGAATTGATCGCAACTCGGAGATATCCTCTACCTCTAACGAGAGCGAGAACAGCCAGCGAAGAGTCAAGGTTTCGTTCGAATCAGAATATCTCGAAATCTCGGCCAGACCTTTACGCATTCGGCACCCGGATCGAAACGGATGCAATCTTTATTTTTTTTCGTGGGTATTGTTTTCGAGGTTAGGTTCCTCTCTCCCTTCGGTTCGACGGCGATCACCAAGTAGGCTTTGTGCGCACAACTTGGAAAGGTATGGGAACGCGGTACAATCAGAGGAAAAGATGCGTCTGAGGCCTTGCAGGAGTATTAACATATTGTAAGTTGTAAGCGGAATGCAAATTTGATTACAATTAATGGAAACTAAAGTTTGCCGAGTTTTCAGTTTAGGCAGTTAAGTGACGAGTGGAAAATTTCCGAACTTGATCATTTTAAATTAAATTTATATCTCGTGCAAAAGCGCCCAATTCTAGTGGAATTAAACTTCTTCCAGTTCAAGGATGATTTTTCAAGAAGATGTGTTTTTGTTTTTGAGCATTTCAAGCCCAAAATTGATAGGCGTTTTTTCCTTGATTTGTTTTCCGTCGATCTTTTTTTCCGTGCTGAGCACCAATGCTACCGACGCCAGGGAGGCAGCTTCCACACCTGGACCCTACTTATCGACCCATCAACTCATGAACCGGGAACCAACGGCTTTACTTCCCTTTCGAAGGAAGGCGTGATCAGAGATGTTATGCATCAGAATATCCCGGCGGCGCCGAGTGGGATTGAACCCAGGGCTGTTGGCGTGAGAGGTAGAAATTGATTGGTTGATTTCGGCTAAAAACTTTGAAAAACTATCTAATTTATACCAAACAAATGTTACATTCAATTTGAATAAAATTGTGTAATCAAAATTGAATTTCATCCATAAATGACCATGTTATAAACGTTCAAAATCTAACACTGTTACGTCACACAATTTTTGATGATTTGCACCCCCAATATAGTCCACAAAGACGCACAAAGGAGGGAGTTGTTTTGTAAAAATAACATGTTTAGCGTTTCGTAATATTTGAACGGGACCCAAGAGGGAAATAATATTGTAGTCTCACTGAAAATCGACGGTCTGAGAGGGAGAAAATCCACCTCTAGCTCCTGCTTGCTGCTTGCTACGCCGTCCGAAGCGGAAATGCAGAACGTTGTGCAACCAAGTGGTACTCGATTTTGACGACTGGGTTTGGAGTTTATTTCATGATAAAACAGTGATAAAATTACTAGGGGAAATGGATGTAATGTCGGTCTAAATGCCCCTAATTTGGGCCCATACATAAATTCAGCAATCGACTACATTTTCAATAGCGACCAAAAATACCCATTAGTACCGTCCCAATGACGCGTTAATCTAGATAAAATTGATAAATAGCTGATTTTATAGCGATGGGCTCAATCTTAGATCCATAGGCTAACATTAGAGCCATTTCCCTGTTTGTACATTTTTGCAAAGTTTTTTTCATGAAAAATTGGAAAACTGTTAAAGTATTCGTAGAGCTATTTCCTATCAATTGGCGTATTTGGATTGTAATTTCATCGATAAATGACGAAGTTACAAGCGTTCAAAACCTAACACTATTTCACAACCAGAGCCCCAAAAAGTCACTTTCAATCAAAAATCTTCAAGTGACGATGACGCTCTCAACCGTCAATTTCAATTGAAAGTCATTCTGTCTTCTCTTCGAGCAGATCCCCGTCAACATCAACAGAACCACTTTCGATCGGTTTTCATGCTGTTTGTTTTGGCTTGACTCGTGTTCATTTCTTCTTTCATTGAAGCGAAGTTGTCCGATCCAAATTCGCGCAGTTTTTATGACTTTTGTTGATTGTTCACTCGGTTCATTTATGCGTAGATCTCGTAGTTGTAAAATTTATCATTGTTGGGTGGTTTGTTTACCCATCAATATGGGTACTTTTTGAATCGGGGTGACGTCTAGAGATCGAAAATTGATATGCGACGCCATTTTTAAATCCAAGATGGCGGCTTCCAGGTTAAGAAAAAGTGGGAAATGCTGTCACATACTTATCAATAAAGGTATTTTTGGAATCGGGATGATGTCTAGAGGATGACAATCGATATCCAACGCCATTTTGAAATCAAATATGGCGGCTTTAGATTTACGAAAAAGTGGAAATACAGTTAAATACACATCAATATTGGTATTTTTGCAATCGGTATGAAGTATACAGATCGAAAATTGATATGCGACGCCAATTCGAAATCCAAGATGGTGGCTTCCGATTTCAGAACAAGTGGGACATATTGTCAAATACCCATCAATATTGGTATTTTTGGAATCGCGATGCCCACCTAGAGGCCGGAAATCGATATCCGACGCCATTTTGTAATCCAAACGGCGGCTTCCTATTTCAGAAAAAAATGGGAAATGCTGATGCCGTCCCATCAATATGGGTATTTTTGGATTCGGGGTAACGTCTGGAGATTGGAAATCAACATCCAACGCCATTTTGTAATCCATCAAATACCCATACAAACGGTTTTTTTTAGAATCCGGGTAGCTTCTAGAAGCCGGAAATCGATATCCGACGCCATTTTGTAATCCAAACGGCGGCTCCCGATTTGCGGAAAAGTGTCAAATATCCTAAAATATGGGTATTTTCAGGGTGGGGATGAGACGTAGATGCCGAAAATTGATGTCACGCCGTCTTTAAACCCAAAATGGCGGCTTTGGTTCAGAAAAACTGTGAAATACTGAACAATGTGGGTTTTTTGGAATCGGGCTGACATCTAGAAGCCAGAAATGGATGTGCGACGCCATCTTGAAATTCAACCAGAAGTGTCAAATAGCCTACAAATGACATCGAATATCGATTTTTAGCATCTTCACGTGGTCTCCGTTCCAAAAATACCCAGATCTTAGGGTATTTGACACTTTTTGTGAAACCCGATGGCCACCATATTGGATTCCAAAATGGCATCGAATATCGATTTTCGGCATCTACACGTTGTCCTCATTCCGAAAATACCCATATTGTAGAGTATTTGACACTTTCTGAACCCTGATGGCCGCCATATTGGATTCCAAAGTGGTATCTGATATCGATTTTCGGCATCTACGCATTGTCCCTGTTCTGAAATAACCATATTGTAGGTATTTGTTCTCCGTTCCGAAAATACCCATATCTTAGGGTATTTGACACGTTTTAGGAAACTTGATGGCCGCCATTTTGGATTCCAAAATAACGTCGAATATCGATTTGTCCCACCTTCATGTCGTCCTCGTTCCGAAAATACCCATATAGTGGGGTATTTGAGACTTTCCCTGACCCCGACGGCCGCCATATTGGAGTCCAGAGTCCAGAATGGCCTCGTAATTTAATTTTCGTTTAATATAAAATAATATACTATTACTACATATAATCTGTATTGTGCGGATACTATCCGGATACTATATAAGTCTTTGCTTCAAATGAAATGAACTGAAGCACTCGACGAACGAAACAAGTGATAGTCCAGTCATGTTTGAAAAGAGGAATGTTCATCGGGACTCGATAACAAGAAACACGATGACTTACACGAAAATGATTTTGCTCGAAATGAAGCGATTTTGCGGAGAGTTCATTTTCTTTTCTTTATTTTGAAAATACAGAGCCCTGTTCGCAGCACATTTTTTTGTTTGCACCCTAGTATAGTCCACAAAGAAGTAGTTCTACGTCAAAACTACATATTTAAATGGAAAAGTGACACCCTGGGTAGGCAGTGACCAATATATGAGCTATATATGAATCAGAAACAAATCTTGCTATTTGGCGTGGAAATGCTCTTTTGTAAACCATGATTCGAACGTCAATTTGTTGAAACTCTTAGCTCGCTCATGCAATCTAGCGCCACCATCAGAAAGGGTAATTTTTGGTGTCGGATTTTTTATATTATCAAGTCGGTTTTGAAAAGTGAGAAGTTAAATCCGATTATGAAAGCAATTAGTGGTATAGTAAGGCCAATTGACCAAAAATTGACTTCAAATAAAATCGCCCAATACTACAATATCATTTTCTCAATAGTTTCTGTAAAAAATAGGGCCAGCATAACGAATATATTGGCTCAATGGAAGCAGTTGCAAATGAAGAGGAGAATATAAATTGAATTAAGATGTCTCAGTTTGTTTACAGCGGTATCATAGAAATAAGCGCTATTCATAAATTAAATTTTCAGCCGAATTATGAAAGGATGAAGTTTTAAAATTAGTCGATGGGTTTGTTTACAAGCCATAATTAAAGTTATTCAAATAAATCAATCGACCAATGTTATCCAAAAAACAAAGGTTGGTTTGTTAACCAAAAATTGATTTCAAATAAAATCGTCCAATAC